CACAGTGTGCCAATGGCTGGTATTTTTGAGTGTAGTTTGATATCTTGTAATTAAAAGCCTATTTCAAAAGCAGAAAAAAGATAAAAAATAGTAAAGCAAGGGAAAGTGTCACTGACTGGGGCGCCTGGGTGGCTCAGTCGGTTAAGCATCCGACTTCGGCTCAGGTCATGATCTCACGGTCCGTGGGTTCGAGCCCCGTGTCGGGCTCTGTGCTGACAGCTCAGAGCCTGGAGCCTGCTTCACATTCTGTGTCTCCCTCTCTCTCTGACCCTCCCCCGTTCATGCTCTGTCTCTCTCTGTCTCAAAAATAAATAAAACATTAAAAAAAAAAATTAAAAAAAAAAGAAAGTGTCACTGAAAAAAAAATTTCAAAAAACACCAAAAACATTTATATTCTTAGAACTACCCCTGGGAATTCATCTTAAGAAAATGAAAAAAACCCATAAAGTTTTATGCACAAAGATATTTACAAAGATAATTTAAAATTACAATTTAAAAAGCATTTTACTGCAGTTTAAGATATACATCACTACATTTTTTTTACATCACATTTTTAATAGTGAAAATTAGAACCAGTTTAAATCTAAATGACACAAGGAATGTTTACATAAATTATACATCTTCAGCAGAGTATTTTACAAAATCATTTAAAAAGGTTAATGAAGAGTTTCTGATACTAAAATGAAAGCTCAGCTAATAATGACTATGGTAGGGGCACCTGGGGTGGCTCAGTCGGTTACCCATCCGACTTCAGTTCAGGTCATGATCTCACAGTTCGTGACTTTGAGCCCTGCGTCGGACTCTGTGCTGACAGCTTGGAGCCTGAAGCCTACTTCAGATTCTGTGTCTCCCTCTCTCTCTCTGCCCCTCCTCTGCTTGCACTCTTATCTCTCTCTCTCAAAAATAAATAAACATTAAAAAAAAAAGTTAAAAAAATAATGACTGGTAAAACTAAAGGTGTTTATTTTAAATTCTATTTTCCACTTCCACAGACTGATGTGGAGGAAATTCTGGGGAACAGGAGGACCAAAAGAAGTCTGAAACCTCACTGAGAAGCCCCAAGTTAAGACTAGCCAGGGAACAGGCCAAGAACCTGGAAGGAAAAGGGAGGAAAATAAGACAAAAGAATTCACACAAACCACTGAGAGATGAAATCAGGAGAAATACCATAAACAGAAGCTAAAGTAACAGCCTATCTTCACGGATACGGACTCTACAGGCGGGTCTTGTGATAAATAAAATGTAGAGTACAGTAGAAATCTTCCAGGAAGAATACACTTAGATTATAAGATTGCTACAACCATTTAAAAATGGGAAGAGAAGTAGGATCAATGGTTGTTCTCTAGCCCAGCAGGTTGTACAGTGATATATTTGAGACACGTAAAACTGAAGTCACGTGCCATCTCCTTTCTGTCTCAGAAATAACACTAGTACAAGGTGTGAGAGGATCTGCTCCCTGGTACTTTGCAAATGAGGGAAGGTAACAGAAAGGTCTCCTAGCCTTACATTCCATGTAGAAGGGTGAGAGAAAACAGATAGGAATTACGATCTGAAATTAGACGAGACCTTTTGATGAGAAAATAAGAAGACTTTTAAGTTAACAGAAGCTATACTTGCTGAATACTTAGGGGTAAAGAAAAGAGAAATTGCTAAACCTGAGGCTGTTTAACTTGTTTATTAATTTAAGTTCAAGCAAACTGTCCTTGGTTCTAAGATTATCACAAAGGAGACAGACCATAATTTGTTTAGCAATTGGCTACTTCATTTATTCCAGGCTGCCTAATATAGGATAGCCCCAAGTCCATTTTTGAACCCAGATCCAAGCCAACTTAGTTTTAAATGTTTTTACTATAGGGACCGCCCGGGTTGCTCAGTTGGTTAAGTGTCTGACTTAGGCTCAGGTCATGATCTCCCGGTTTCTGAGTTCAAGCTCCACATTGGGCTCTGTGCTGACAGTTCAGAACCTAGAACCTGCTTCAGATTCTGTGTCTCCCTCTCTCTGCCCCAATCCTGTTCGCGCGCGCGCTCTCTCTCTCTCTCTCTCAAAAATAAACGTAAGTAAATAAATAAATAAATAAATAAATAAATAAATAAATATTCTTACTATAGGATAATTTAAGAAGGAAAATAGGCATCAGTATAAGCTTAATTGGACATTTTCTTTTCTGTTTTGTTTTAAAGTAGTTTTAGCTATCTAAGTTATTGCTTAAGTCCTCTCTAAAGAAAACAAAGTCTTTAAAAGTCTGTTTCATACAGGCTAGAATATAATAATAAATTCATGATGTAATAAAATTGATTTTTATGTGCTATACACACATACACACACACACATACTTCATGTTTACATGGGATCCTTTATGGGTACAAATGCATTTATAACCATTTTATTGGACTGGAAGAGTCCAACTCTTCTAGGTGATTTCAGAAGTATACAGTCTAAGTTTTTGAACATTGTTAATTATAACCTTGTCATGATGAAATATAACCTAACACATGACAATCTCTTCAAAACCAGTTTCTGAGAATGTATTGTGATAAATACTATCTTTACTAAAACTCTAAACTAATACACAGTGAATCAGTTTGCATCACTCCCTAAAAATTAGAAAAAAGCAACTTTCCAACATTAGAATAAATTATGAAAATTATGACAGAGCCCATCAGTGGATACTACCGAGGTCTTAAAAATGACAAACTGGGATTATAAATTAACACTGGGAAATGCTGATGGTAGAACACTGAATAAGAAGGTGAGATGCAAATTTTTCACTATAGAATGATTACAGTATAGAGTAACTTGGAGGGATAAAGATCATAATGCTAAAAGTAGATATTTTAGTATAGTGAGGTTATAGGTAACCTTTTTCTTCTCTCTTTCCTAAAAGTTTTAAAATTTGTTTATATTCTTTTTTTATGAAAATAACTTTTGTTAAAAATCATCACTGAATACATAGTATTTCACGTGATACTGTTTTATTAACCTTTAAAAACGTTTTTATAAAGTTTTATTGAAGTTTATTTATTTATTTTGAGAGAGAGAAGGAGAAGAGAGAGAGAATCCCAAGTAGGCTCCACACTGTCAGCACAGAGCCCAATGGAGGGCTTGAACCCACGAACCGTGAGATCATGACCTGAGCTGAAATCAAGAATCAGACATTTAACTGACTGACCCACCCAGGCTCCCCTTAACCTTCTTTAATCCTATCTTATAATAATGGAAGTTAATGGTAGATAGGACAGAAAAATTTGTTCAGAACTTAAAACAAATTCTGTAAGAAATAAAAGGAAGAATTAGAATTCTAACTGCAAAGAAAGAAAAAAAAGAGAATGTGCTGATGTCTAAAGACGTGATTATTAAATTTGTTGTAAAATTCAAAGTTTTCTTTGTCAATTACTTTTTGGAAAAGAAACATTAGCACACGAAACTAACTCATAAAGAAGATAACAACTACAACAGCATAAAGACACAGATGAGGATTACAGAAAGAGAAAGGAAAGGTACCACCGAATACTAGCAAATCTGATATAAGTGACTAGGAACTATAATCTGTGGAACTATCAACAGGGACATTATAAAGACCATCTTCTTTTAGAGGAGATTCCTGACCTTGTATGCATGTTAACTTTATTAAATCCTACCACTGACAGATCAGATATAATTATTTTACACAATGAATCTGTGGCCATTCTATTTCCTGATGTCCTTCAGTAAATAAGAGAAAACATTTCAGAAAGAAGATGTGAGAAACAGAATAAAGTCAGTCGGTTAATAACAAGATATACAGAATGTACCAAAAAAACAAATAATCTGATGAAAAATGAGCAAAAGACATGAATAGACATTTCTCCAAAGACATCCAGATGGTCAACAGACGCTTGAAGACATGCTCAACATCTCTGATCATCAGGGAACTGTAAATCAAAACCACAATGAGATATCACCTCATGCTTGTTAGAATGGCTAAAATCAAAACCTCAAGAAACAACAGGTGTTGGCGAGGATGTGGAAAAAAGGAACCATCGTGCACTGTTGGTGGGAATGCAAACTGGTACAGCCACTGTGGAAAACAGTATGGAGGTTCCTCAAAAAATAAAAAAATAGAACTATCATATGATCCAGTGATTCTACTACTGGATATTTATCCAAAGAATAGGAAAACACTAATTCAAGATTTATGTAGCTCTATTTTACTGCAGCATTATTTACAACAGTCAAGTTATGGAAACAATCCAAGTGTCCATCGATAGTTGAATGGATAAAGATCTGAAAGATATATACAACGGAATATTACTCAGCCACAAAAAAGAATGAAATTTTACCATGTGCAACAACATGGATGGATCTAGTGGGTATAAAGTCAAAGTGAAATAGGTCAGTCAGAGAAAGAAAAATACTATATGATCACTCATACGTGCAACTTAAGAAATAAAACAAACGAACAAAGAAAAAGAGACAAAGCAAAAAAAGACTCAACTATGGAGAACAGACTGATGGTTACCAGAAGGGAGGTGAGTGGGGGGATGGTGAAATAGGTGAAGGAGATTAAGAGAACACTTATCATGATGAGCACTGAGCAGTGTATAGAATTACTGAATCACTATAGTGTACATCTGAAACTAATATAACAATGTAGGTTAATTATACTGGAATTAAAAATAAAAGTAAATTCAACACTATCTGGTCATTTACCAACTTCAACAGTGACCTGCATATAATGGACATTCAATAACAAGTGTTCATTATCAAGTACAACAGAGAACATTCTGTTTTTAAGACCACAGAGTATTTCTAGTACTCAGAAATCACAGCAGATTTAGAATGACAGCTAAAAATATTAGTTCAACTTCACACTTGTATAAATATTTATAGACGTGTTTAAGAAAATGCACCTTTTGAAAAAGGAATCTAGGTTATTAAATTTAAAAAGCAAGAAGATAAAACAGATTATCACACACCCAAAAATGTGTCAAACTGGAAACTGTAAATCTTATCTCCTTACCATAGGTGGCAAAAGTTCTTCTTTGCTGTTCAAACATAAAGTCATTGATATGAGCTGGTTCAGCATATCCAGAAAGCATATTTCTAGGGGCAGCCATTTGCTGTGTCCTAAAGGGATTTTCTGGTCCAAACTGCAATGTTATAAGAAAAAAAATCAAACTTAAATCCTAAGTATATAAAGCCAGAATACTAGAATTATTGTACAATATATTTTTAACTCTAAATCATTAGGGGCCAAGTAACCTACTTGGGAACATGCTCCCCACACATGGTTCAGTGCAGTTGGGCAATGGCTGATGAGCACTGTTTGTCAGCCCAGCCCCTAGGACAGAAGGAGAGGAACCCAGCTCACCCAAGTCTCTGTATGGCTATTTAAATTTAAATTACTTAAAATAAAATATTCAGTTCCTCGGTCACACTAGCCAGACTTCATGTGCTCAACAGTCACATGTGGTTATTGGCTACTACATTTCCTTCACTGCAGGAAGTTCTATTGGACAATGCTGCTCTTGATGATTGAGTTACTATATTTTTGTCCAACGATTTGGGGGATTTGGGGTGACTTTTTCTTTTAATTTATAAAGATGATTTTTGGTATATCAATAATGGTACCATGATGTAATTTTAAAAATACATGTTTCTTCTCTACTAGATTATGAGTTCTTCAAAGGTAGAGACTTAAAATCCTCAATACTTACCATCATGCATGACATACTAAAAGCATTAATGAAGTGAAAGATTAATCAGAACCCCCCTGGGGTCAGAGAATAGGAAAAAGACAATAAAAGTAAAATGCTTGAAGAAATCCCTAGAAAAAGATATTACAAATGAAATAAAATCACTCTGAGAAGTCACACTATGAAAGTCTTACACAAAATAGTACGTTATTATCTGTTTATAATGCTTTGAGTTTCCATAATGGTTTCCAAATGTTATTTAATTTGATTTGTACAAAGATCCTGGGAAGTTAGAGAGGTATTCTCCTTCTCATGTTAGAAATGAAGAAAAAAGGCTAAAGATGATGTATTTTATCTGCCCCAGAGTCAATAGTTTTATTATTAATTGGTAGAACCAAGGTTAGAACAAACTCTAGTCTAGGATTCTATTGTATCATAACATTCCTTAAATGTACAATCATAATAACTTTTAAAAAAATGGTAAAAAAAAGTATCAGATTATGTCAAGCACTATTAATTTAATAATATTTATTTAATGGTAATGGAAAAATCCAACTCTGTATTTTTTTGTTTGTTTTAAAATAAACAATGAAATGAACTTCCCATTTTGGAAATAGTGGGGTTAGACAGGATATCTTATTTAAAGTCTGGAAGGTCTTCATGATAAAGTATTTCAGCGTCAGAACACCTTAAGTCACTACCATTAGAAACCACCATTCCTGTGATATATTTCCAGAGCCATAAATATAAGTTATTGGTCTTCTCTTAAGGAGAATGCTGCCTTCTCTAGATATCAATATTATACTATGCACAAAAATCTGAATTTAAATGATGTTACATTTGCCTTATGTTTTTTTTCTGCTTTAGAAGAAAATGCATTACTACAATATTCTTTTATATTGATAGCTTCCATTTCTATGTTTAAAGTGATTCAATTTAAAAAATATTTGATTGGGTGGCATGATCGAGTTCGCGTCCGACTTCAGCCAGTCACGATCTTGCGATCCTTGATTCGGTAGCGTCAGAGCTCTGTAGGCTGATGGTCAGAGCCTGGAGCCTGTTCCGATTATGTCTCCCCTCTCTCTCTGCCCGTTCATGCTCCTGTCTCTCTGTCGCAAAAAATAAATAAACGTTGAAAAAAAAATTAAAAAAAAAAAAAATATTTGATTTACAGGAAGCCTGGGTGGCTGGTCGGTTCGCGTCGACTTCCAGCCAGTCACGATCCGTGGTCCAGGGAGTTCGAGCCGCGTCAGGCTCTGGAGCTGAGTAACCAGAGCCTGGAGACTGTTTCATTCTGTGTCTCCCTCTCTCTCTGCCCCTCCCCCGTTCATGCTCTGTCTCTCTCTGTCCCAAAAATAAATAAACGTTGAAAAAAAAATTTTTTTTTAAAAATAAAACTATTTGATTTACATACAAAACTTTTATTACTATTCATTCTGAATTTATAATAAAGGAGAGTGCAAGATTTCACAGCCCGTATTAGTTCCTCCTTACGTAAGGGAGAAAAAAAATCTAGAATACTGAATGCTGGCAGTTATAGTAACTTTGTCATGAAATTTATTACAAAAACAAGGGACATCCATAAGAGTAAGGATAATAAAGTGATTTAAGTTTCCTAGATGTTCTACCTAATATAGTCAGCTATCATCCACAAAGCAGTATCTGATATTTCTGGGGGGAGGGAGGCTCTAAAATGATAAATATCTCCATTGATCTTGTTACTCATATAATAAGTTAACCATTACATTTATAATTTCCATTTGAAAAAGGAAAATACAATTTCCATAGTCTTATTTTATTAAGATTTTACAAAAAAA